ATAGAATTATTAATAATTTGACAGAACAAGTCCAAAACAAGTCCAAAACAAAAAAAATATGCCTGAGAAACTTTTGGTTTACTGATTTCTTCTTCTTACTTTTCACCTTAATCTTATGAGACTGAGTAAAAATGTTAATGAGCCTATAACTGGCCTAAATTCCAAAAGACAGTTTTGGAGAATTTGTATTTCAAATGCATTAGTTTTATTATTTTGCAGGTAATTAGCAGATCAGTTAAAATAAATAATTTCCTGCTGCTGCTAGGCATATGCAGTCAAATGCAAACTTATTTTACTCCTTTATACACCTACTTGCAAATTATTTGTAAAAAGGTTGAAATTTAAAAACACAATGTGTATGGAGGAGGAAATTTAGTTATGCTCAGAAATTATTTTTTTTTTTTTTTTGAAACTGATTAGGTTTATAAATCTTCTTGGGTTTTGCTTTTGTTATTTGTGTATGTGTTTTTTGTGGGGAAGATCTCTGCACATCTTGTCTTTCATTCCTCCAACTAATGCTAGGACTGCAGTAAGGATAGAAGTATATCTAGGTCTTATAATGCAAAAAAAATTTGCATACTTTTCGTAAAGGTACCATGTATTTCCTCCCTTCCCCCCCATCCCCAATTTAAATTTAGGATGCTCTAGAAGGGAAAGATGTTTTCACAAAATTTTCTCCAGGACTCAGCCTCTTTAAGTATCTGAAAATTATGGGAAGGGCCAGAAACTAATAAGTCCTAATTTAAATAATCTACTTCAATCACAAGTCATTACTAAATGGAGATTAATAGGGGCCTTAATAAAAAAAAACTTGTCTATCCTAATGGTTTAGTTTGGATACAAAATCACTTGAAACAATCCCTAAGTCAGACCTTTCTCTCTCCCTATTTCTATAGCATCATGTAGCCCTTGTGAAATGTGTTCAGTTTCGAGTCCTATTTCCAAGGTGTGGCTATACACGTAATGAAGGGGGAAGCTTTCTGCTAAAGAGTTTGTACTTGATATATTTTTGTCCTCTGAAATTCCAGTCACAAGCCCTGAGTCCTTTCAGAGCTGTACTGCTCAGTTTGGAATGGTCATAGTAGCATGAAGGAAATGGGAAAACAGCGTGAGAGGGTTTGGTTTCTTCTGGGCTTCTAGGATGGAGGTCAAGGGAAAGTTAATACAGCCAGCAAGGTCACAGCCACAAACTGCCAGGCTTACTGCTGTGGAAGCAAAAGCATATATAGTAAGTTTCCTGTGATGTAGATTCCCACTGCTCTCCCTTTCTAGCAGCTGCTGCAAAGTGGCATTTCTCAGCTAGAAAAGCTGACATGGGGTAGAAGGATATACTGTTTCTGCAAGCACACAATGATCACACAGAATTTCTGTGTGAAGAAGCAGATCCATCTAAACAAAAACTTACACAGATCTTCTAATGACAGTGTTAGGGAAATCAACAATAAAGGAATGGGTAGCCACCACAAGGTGCGGTCACAAGCCCTTGTTTCTACTAAGCCGTAACTAGGCAGTTTGCTAGAGGCAAGACAACTATTGGGATAGTGCTATTGGATGCTTATGTTGCTATACTACCTGAGACATGTCTGCTAAGCTATGAGTTTTTAAAATTTGAAATGTGTTTGGAGCAGAAAGTGACTCCTGGTTCTGTTCTCTGTTTTTGAAGCTTGGATGGTGTACATGCAGTCTGCACTCCTAAGCAAAGAGGAAACATGCTACCCTCCAGGAACTACATTCTCTGCTTCAATAGGATCTGGTCAACCACAAGAGAAGGTTCACAACAATCAGGGACAAAATGATTAAACTCTCCAACTATATCTTTGAAAAACTTTGAGTTGTTTCAATTTTTTTTTTATTGTATGAAATTTTTTAGTAGTTTGTCCTAATGTATCAATAATGAGCAGACTGCGTGCGTTATTTTATCTTTGTATTCCTTTAGTAAGACCTCTTAACAGGCCACTGTTTCTTACTGGAATTGGGCAGTAAACAGCTTCTAGCAGCTCAGTTATTAAGTTGGAGACATTTACAAATTAAGCATGGATAACAAATAGAAAAAATCCTAACAAAATAAAAGAAATTCTAGAACAAATAAAACTGAATTAAAAAAAAGTTCAAATTAGAAACGTGTTATAGATTGGCACCTCAAAAGCCAAAGAAAAGAAATACTTCTGCTAAACATTTAACTATATATAAGGGAATTGAAAGCAAGCAGCTTTGTGGAAAGAGCAATCTTCCCACTTCCTATCACTTCTAAAATGAATTAAATGTGTAGACCTAGGGATAGGAATGAGGTATATTTTGAACAGAATTTTAAGACCATCTCTTAAGGCATAAGTCAGTAATACCTACTGAGTCTTTCCCTTTCTTTCCTTCCCTATCTCCTTCCTGTGGGTATTTGTGCTCTGACATAAAAAGTCAAGATAGGAGGGTATTCCTTGTTTTCTTGAGTAAACATGGAGTAAGATAATAGTGTAGGGAATCCCACTTTTTCTAACTCTACTGTTGGTCATATTCATACTGTTTCTTATGTACTTCTGTGAACTTCTTCATCTGTCAGCCAGCAAATACATGATGCTGAAAATATCAGTGGTGTGCTGCTAGTTAGAGAAGCTGGCATGCTTTAGCCATGTGAGTCTGATGAGCTACCTAGTCACAGGTTTATTTGAGGGTTCTGAGCACCTCACTAAGCTGCGCCCTAGACCACAGAATAAACCCAGTTTTTTTTGCTGAAAAGGAGTATGCATATGATTTTATTTTCACATGATTTGGCACTTAACACAGTTTCAATCTGAACCCATATTTCTACCAAGTCCACAGCATTTTTATTTGAACTCCTAAACCTTCTGTTCAGTCCTACAGAAGTGCTTCCTATGACTACATCCCCTGACAAAAGGCAGGAGATCAAATCTTTTTGTACATCAGTCACATGAGAACTCTGTGAGTTCGAGCACTATTTTCTTGTCATTATCCCCCATATTTTTAGGCAGAAAACACACTACAACGTCTCTGTGACATTTTGCACAGTTGTCTTTTGAGAATATTAGAAACCAGGGACTAATTCCTAAATGAATTTTTCCTTCTCCTGGTTAAAATATATATATTTTAAAAAGCCATAGATAAGTATGTCAGCTTTGCAGAACTGAAGCAAACGCTGCAGGCACGGGAAGCAATTGAGCAAAGACAAGTTAGGCACAAATAAGTAATGAAACCTTACAGTTAACTTGATGTGCAAGCTCATCTCTAGAGTATACCCAATTTACTCAGATATTTCCAAGCCTGGGGCATATGGCACACTGGCAACCTTGAAGCTGTAGTTTGAAGGGAGTTGAGCACCTGGAGATTATGTGGTGTCAGGAGAGAAATCATGCTGAATGTCTTTCCTGCCTCAATGAATTTTATAAATTAAAAATGTGTGCCTTGGGCTTACTTTTCTCAGACTGTAAAAAATAAAGTTTCCAAGTTTGTTAATTTTAAATTATTACTTTGCATTTCTTTGAATGCATGTCTTCATTCTATCCCTTGACTTCATCAAACATACTTGGAATAGCCATATTTACCTAGTGATTATAAGTTTGACAAAAACCATTGGGCTTAAGGTGCAATAGTAGTAATACAAAAATAAAAGACAAGGGAAATGGAGTAGCTTTAAGGAATGTTAGTCTTTCTGGTATGCAAACAAACTTAACAAAGAATTGCCTGTTGTAAAATGTATGAATTACTAACAGAAAAACACTGCTGAAGTAGATCCCCAATGGTAGAATGTTTTCTAAAATAGTTTTAGTTATGCTAGGGAGTTCCGTTATGGATTTTAATATAACACGAGCCAAGTGCAGTTGTTTTGAAGGCAAGACGAAAGGAAGACATTGGTTTTGGGACTTTAACTGAGCAAGCTTTAAAAAAAAAAAAATCTTGAAAGTTAATGCAAAGATCAAAAACTTCCAGTGTCAGTACATGAAAGAGCACCTTGATTCAGCGCTGTTGTATTCTTCCCCATGCACAAGATAGACACAAAGTCTCATGCAATGCCAGCAACCCCTCTGCAGTAAGGGAACTTTTCACTCCACTGTGACATTTTTAAAAAGTTTTCAATCTCACTAGCTAAAGTAGCAGGTCGAGGGAGAGGGGTTTGAGAGGTGAGTGGGTTGGTTGGTTGGTGATTTTTTTTTCTTGTGACATATGAATGTTTTTTTCTTTCAGTCTTGTGACATGTGTAGGAACAAAAGACTAAGTGTGTTACAAATGTTGCACAAATCACTTTGTAGAGAAACAGATACAACAAAGATTAAGCATACATCATGTTTTGTTATGCAACCCCTAATTTTTACATTAAGTATGAACTACAAAACTGTGCTGATGTGACTGATTCTGCTGGAGTATGGCAGCCTTGTGGTTTGGGAAGAAAAGAACTAAGTAGCTTATAAAAATTAACTTTCCATGAGAAAGACAAAGCAATATATGACTGGTTATCTGGTAGCTGTCATAGGCTAGGGGAGCTCAGCAGAGCCCAGTGAGTGGCAAGGACTACTGGATCACAGCATTCATTCATTCACAAATAAGATGAAAACAAAATAGAGAAGGCCTGACATCAATAAACTTCAGTTTGAGGTAAACACAAATTTTTAGGGAAATCTTTCATGCTTTTAATTCTAGTTCTAATTTTGAAGAAATTTTTCAAATTAATGGAGAATAAAGGACTACTTAATAGTCAGTTTCCAGATGTATTTTTCAGCTTGTCTGATTGAGATTGGACCTGAGCATGTTCAAGCTGTGATGATACTAAAACATAGGTGCTTGATTTATAGTTAAAGTGCTGGACTGTCAATCAGATGTCTCCAGGCCAGCTGTATCTGCTCAGAAGCTTCACGGATTATTCACAGATTGTGTCCCTTTACAGAGTTGGAAGGGACTCACAAGGATCATCAAGTCCAGCTTTTAAGTTGATGGCGTGTATGGGGATCAAACCCATGGCCCTGACACTCTAACCAGCTGAAATAATCCCACATGCTCACTTTGGCTGCACATATACTAAAATTGGAACAATGAAGAGAAGAATAGTATTGCTCCTGTAGAAGGATGACATGCAAATTAACTCAAGCTACTATCTAATGACACAGTGTATGTAGGCATGCAAAAACTTAGAAAAGGGTCACATGATTCGCATCAAAAATTAAATGTTATGATCAGTCATGATAGAAAGAGAAAAGAGACTGACATTCACTTCTAGCTGCTAAAGGTAGATGTTGTGAAGGAGAGAGACCAACTAAGAACCTGAAAGTGAGATTCATTAGAAGAGAATTGCAATGAAGTCTGCTAAATAATATTTATGTTCAAAAAATCTTCACTTGAAAAAAAATCTTGATGTTGAGAAAAAGAAAGAGGTCTTTTTCTATAATGTATAGAGTTCATAATCACACACTGTATCGAAGCACTTCATCTATCCAGTATTTCAGGTCTGAAATGATAGTAAAGGTACTTTTATCTATGTTTTACAATATAATGTATGTTAAATCTAAGATATTTTACTATGCTTTCTGTATATAATGTAATCATTATATCTATAATATACATATTCTTTCTACTATAATTTGAAAATGTTACATTTGCTCTTGACGAAGTCAACACCCTGAAAATTGGCACTGAAAATGATTTTATTAATTTTGGTGATTTTACTAATGTTTGGTGATCTCAAGTCCATACACACAACAGATTCTTCTTGCCTACTCCTACAATATTAGTCATGACTTGTTATAAAATCCGCCAATGAAATTAAAATTATGTTAAGCTTTTATATTTTATTTTATATATAATATAATGATTTGGTTAATTTTTTTTTTTTTTTGGAGAAGCAACTTTCTGTGTATCTTTGATCGAAATAAGTATGTGAAAGGGAAAGTTTTAAAAGAATATTTTAACATTATTATTCAATGTCCATTAAATGTGAGCTGTTTATAATCAATATTGAATTCCACATGTAACTGGAAATGTGACTAAGAGACTAGGTTAGTAAGCAAAATGAGTAAGGGGCTATCTGTGGTTATATAAAAATTTTAAAATGTGAGGTCCTAGTGAAAAAACAGTTAGCAAAATTGAAATAGCTCTTTCAAAAACATCTCACAATTTAGTAAGCACCACAGTTAAAGTAATTTAATTTTTGTTGGCAAATATCTCATGACACTAATTACATAATCATATCCTTAAGAAGATGCCTCACATCCTAGCTTGTAAAATTTTTCTGCTTATGTAGCAAATTTACAGTATTAAGATAGAAAAATTTTTATTACTATTGACAAACTTTTAAGGTTAAAAAGTGACTGTTTACTATCTCAAGTCATCTTTTAGTTTTTTAGTATTACTTATTGAAATTTATATGTATTCTTCAGCCTGTCTAAAAATTCAGGGGTATGTTATAGGTCAACCTTCATTCAGAACAAGCTGTAGAACTCACTGCATGTAGCATTTAGATACCAGCTCTTCACCTCTACATGCATTCCAGGTTTCAGTACCTTTTCACAGTTTTTTTAATAAAGAATAAAACTATTCTGGAAAACAGTACAAAAGCTAAATTTTCCTTTGTAATTTTACTTTGTAATGGAAAAGATTTAGTTGTCCTTATCATTTCAGGACCAGATATACCTTTGCCTGATTTATGAATGTTTGATAATTTCTCACTTGGATATATATTCATTTTATCAGCATTCCTCTCTTTATTATACATTAGCTCTTATGAAACAGTTAATTATCTGCTAGAATTTTTCTACCTAGAATGTTATTTATTTATCCTGTGGACCACATGGTCCCAGAGGGAATGACAGGTATAATAAAAAGAAAATATTTTTTAAAATCCTTCCTTTATAGGAAGCTATAGATAGTTAGTTATATAATCAGAATAATTAAATTATAGTCACCATCTATAAATCATTATATGGAATTGCATATGTTCTGCCTTTGCCAGAATAAAAATATTTATGTAAATTCATGAAACCTGTCTTATGAAAGTAGTAAAAGCAAGATCATAAGGAATGGACAACCAAAGCTGACACACACAGTTGATATAACCTTGGAACTATGCCTTTAAAGTACTCCAGTGACGACAGCTTTAAACAAAAATGTGAAAAATATTGTATCTTTCTAATTTGTTAGATTCAAGCATTACACTTGGGTAGCTAGACTGGTTAACAAGAGTCATGTGACTCATATAAAAGAAAAAGACACTCATGGCAAAATCAAGTGGTGATCTTCAACTGGGAATTTGCATCTACCATAACTGCACATCACTGAATAATATAGAAATTCTTTGGTTTTAGTTCAAGTAGTCCCATAGAATGTTTAGGCATTAATTTAAGTGAGTAGATATATTTTATGACACTTATTACAGTGGTGATTTCAATGAAAGACATAATCAGTAATAGCACATATGTTTCTCTAAAAGGTTTCTGTTTCTATTCTATTCAATAATACGAGAAACAAAGGTCTGTTTGGGGGGTTTTTTGTTTCTTTTTTTTTAGCAGCATAGCTAGGCATGAGAAAGGTCTGTATGCGTGTATCCCTGTGCACATATAATTACAGGTATTAGTGCAACTCATTTTATTCTCAATCCTTTGACAAAGACAGCTAGCCAACATATAGCAACACCCCTCCAGAGATAGTTCATGAATGTCTATGTTTATGCCAATCCTTCAAGAATAATTTTATTTCAATAATTTACTCAACATATGTTATGTTTAAAAGGTGGACAAGCATTAAAATAAGTACATTAAATATGCATTGAAACATCAAAGTATTTTGATCATAATACTCTCCTTATGCTTTGCTGACTCACCTTAGTATTTTCTAAGTAACCTAAAGTAGACAGAATATGCAAAATGCAAGACCACTTGCATCTCGTACCTTCATTAAATAGAATGATGTTCCAGCAGTACCTCATGAAATAAAATGTTTGCACTAAGAGAAACAGCCATACAAATCTAATTATTTGTACCTTATGGAGATCTCTCAATGGCACTCTCATCACAGGGAACCTAAAGCTGTGTGCAAGTATTAGAATAAAACCATTTATTTCTTAGTAAATAGTTTTCTTCAATGCACCAGGCTTCTCTTAAACTTACATTATTAAAATAATCCAGTTCATTCTCCACTATGAAATAGAAGGGCCTTTTGTTACTTAAATAAATGTGTTGCTTTATCGCTCATAAATATTTCTCTAAAGATGTTTTCTAATGCTCCAGTTTCTGTAGGTTTTATGAATTAAGCTATAACCACCTGTAATGCAGATGAAAACAAAGAAAAAACATGTGATTCAGACCACTAGTACTTTCTCTTTTCTGTAGATTCAGAAATGTCACCCATTGCAAAGACTTATCCCTTCCATATGTATGCATGCATTTGCTTCCACACAATTCTGATGTCAAACATCAAGAAATGAGCGTACTTTTTCCAAAGTTTAGGAACTTTATAAAATCCTAGGTTTCTTCTACAGGGACTACCTTCCTACTGTCCCATTATTCTCTCTACAGATCTGTTTTTCATAGAAATGTCTTGTACATATAAATTTCATCTAAAAGTACTGTGCAACTGATTACTGCAGGTACAGATGGGTTGGTTTGGGCTGGGATACAGTTAATTCTTCACAGTGTCTGGCACGAGGCTGTGCACAGTGATGATAATAGAGATGATTTTGTTATTGCTGAGCAGTGCTTACATAGAGCCAAGGTTTTTTCATCTTTTTGTACCACTAGGCTGGTAAGGAAGTTGAAGATGCATGGGAAACTGGGAGAAGACATAGATGGGACAGATGACCCAAACTAACCAAATGGATATTCCATACAATATGACATCATGCTCAGTATATGAACTGGGGGGGAAGAAGGAAGAGAGAGAGACATTTAGAGTGATGGCATTTGTCTTCCCGAGTCACCATGTGATGGGGCCCTGCACTCCTGGAGATGGCTGAACACCTGCCTGCCCATGAGAAGCAGTGAATCAACTCCTTGTTTTGCTTTGTTACACGTGTGGCTTTTGCTTTCCCTATTAAAGCTGTCTTTATCTCCACCCATGAGTTTTTCAGCTTTTACCCTTCCGGTTCTCTCCCTGATCCCACTGCTGCGGGAGTAAGCAAGCAGTTGTGTGAGGCTTGGCTGCTGGCTGGGGTTAAACCATGACAGAAAGTCAGACTCTCAGTCAGGTTAGACATGCAGTAGGTCCAGCTGGGCTGTTGCAAGTTCAGATGGTCAGGAAAAAAAAAATCAAACAACAAACCAACAACATAAAATGTATGTAGGCTTTGTGTTAATGACATTTCTGGACAGGAAAATTGGGAAAAGTCCATGCAAGATTTAACTGTCTTTAACATCGAATCATAGAATCATAGAATCAGCTGGGTTGGAAAGGACCTCTGAGATCATCAAGTCCAACCCTTGATCCAACACCGCCATGGTTACTAGACCATGGCACTAAGTGCCACATCCAGTCTCATCTTAAATACCTCCAGGGACAGAGAATTCAACACTTCCCTTGGCAGCCCATTCCAATATCTGATTACCCTCTCTGCAAAGAATTTCTTCCTCATGTCTAACCTAACCCCCTGCCCTCCCCCCACACCCCCAGCAGAGCTTAAGACCATGCCCTCTTGTCCTACTGCTGATTGCCTGGGAGAAGAGACTGACCTCCACCTGGCTACAACCTTCTTTCAGGTAGTCGTAGAGAGTGATGAGGTCTCCCCTGAGCCTTCTCTTCTCCAGGTTAAACAACCCCAGCTCCCTCAGCCTCTCCTCATAGGACTTGTGCTTGAATCCCCTCACTAGAGTGGTTGCTCTTCTCTGGACCTGCTCCAGCATCTCAATATCCTTCCTGAACTGAGGGGCCCAGAACTGGACACAGCACTCCAGGTGTGGCCCCACCTGTGCTGAGCACAGGGGAAGGATCACTTCCCTTGTCCTGCTGGCCACACTGTTCCTTATCCAGGCCAGGATGCCATTGGCCTTCTTGGCCACCTGGGCACAGTGCTGGCTCATGTTCAGAACCTTGCTCTATTTTATCTGCTACTCTAGATGTGCCCAAACACTAGCGCTTCCAAAAAATAGAAAAAAAAAACCCAGGAGGCTAAAAGCCA